GTGTGAGTATATATGTGTGCACGCATGTGCACATGCACAGATGTGTATGCATCACAATGAGCACGTGGAGGTCAGCTTTCCACAGTCATCTCTCCCTTTCTTGTGTGTATGGATTCTTCCTACCAAATAACTTTACTCACTAAGTAACGCATGTCACAGGCCCTAAGCCAAGCACCTTAGCACTGGAATAATTTCAGCCATCTGAAATGTTTAAATGTCCACTGCTTTAATTTACCAACCATATTTATAAGACTATGTTTACATATGCAGAGTTTAAAAATGCCCCTTTCTTTTGGATGTGGAATCTAAGAGGTAGATGATATAATGGTAGCTCCTCTTTGGAAATACACACATGAGTAAATATTTTGCCTATGAATATTTTCCTGTGAATTTTCACATCAGGTTCACAGAATTAGTACCCATGTAGAAGTTGCCACACAAAACTGCAAGGATAGGTTTGCTCCAGAGAGGTTTGCTTCTCTTTAAAAATAAACAATTCACACGTCTTAAAGTGATTAAGGGAAATGTATGCAACTAATTTTTAATCTCAATTTTAACAGAGCAACTCGGAGAGCAAGCCTCCTAACTGTGCTGGCAATTCACCGACAGCTGTAGAAAAAATATTTGGAAACAGAGGAAAAAGAACTTTGGAAGGTATATGTCCCTCCTGGTCTGCTTCTCTGATCAAGGTGTCCAAGACCATTGTGCACTAGGCTGGACTTGAAGGAGTAAGGCTTAGCTGGGGTGGATGGGTTAGACAGGATCTCTCTCTGTCAGTGTGCATGCAGGAGAAACAGCCTCCTCTGGAGACAATTTTCAGTGAAACATCTCGCTCTATTGGAGGGGAGTAAAGGTATATAAATCTTGGGGAATGAGTAGGGGTTTTCTGGGTGATTGTACATCATTGGCTGGGGATGAGGTGATGGGGAAATGCTTCATTTGCATAAAGAGGAAGTTTAACCTGTAACCTGGCCACCAGGTTACATGACTACCCCAAGGGTGGCAGATATGGAGGTCAACAATATTGTGTGTGCTAGAACTTGCAGGCCAAGAGCAGGGAGAAAGTAGTATTACTCCTGCCGGTATCAGGATGAGATTTTCGGAGTTCGGACTTGTTTCAACCTCACTCTTGCTCCAGACCGACTCCCCAGATCACACAGCCTTCTGGCTCCACATCTCTCCGTTTTTGTTTTATAAAGGGGGCGGGGGTGGGGATGTCATCACAGTCACCAGCCTCTATGTTAGGGGAACACTTTGGTATTGAACCAGAACCTGATTGGCAGTGGTTTTTGCAAGGCTATTTATCTGGCGCTTTAGAATTTGGATGAGGCAGGATTCCAGGAGGAGTAGGGCCCCAGTGGCCAGTACAGGGCCAAGAAGAAGAAGAAGCCAAACTACCAGAGGCTTTGAGTAACATGGAGTAGGGGTGTTGCTGGAGGGATTTGAGACTGTCCATGGTGGAAGCCATAGCCTTGTCAAGCTTGTCCTGGAAGCTGTCAGCCAGGTGTTGTGTCTGGTCCTTTTGCTCCAAAAATACACAGACTTTTAAGGGTAACATTGTAGGTACATTTCTGCATTAGCACATGTGTGGGATCTGTGGTGTGTACAAATCAGGTAATGATGATTCTCTGCTCTACGTTTGAGCAGGTAAAAAGGTATCTGTCAATTTATAAGTCCGTTTGGACTGCATAACCAAACTGAAATATAAATTTCCGTCTGTGCCATATGAAAGGATGACACATAGTAATAAGTCATAGGGACCAGGAGGCCAAGAGATTTATTGGCTATGCAGTGACATTCGTGTCTCAGCCAGTCTCCTGAGCTGTTCCCAGGTAGAGGGTTCAGCATTTACATCATCTGTTTTGGTGTTTCTTTCTGAGCCTCTTTGTTTAAGTCTGTAATCAAGATTTTCAGGAGGTCTTCCCTGGTCAGATCTAGTTTTTATTAGCTTTGAAGGGATCCGCAGCTTTTTCCTTCTTGATGAACGAAGAGAAAAACTTCTCCAATAAAAAAAAAAAAGTCAACACATATCTTGACTTTTATTCTGAGGCAAACACGTCCTTAAGTTATATAAGCTGATTTAATTAGCAGTTTTTTTTTCTAAAATACAGTGTTTGTCGCAGCCGTGTCACCTGTCTCATTGATATTTAAGATGTTTTGAAGAGTCAATAAAGCATTCTTTATCCCAGCTACTTAGAACAGCTGAGAAAGGAAATACCACAGTGACCCACATGACCTGAAGCCTGGAGAGGTCTAGTTAAATTATGGCAACATTTTGGGGATGGGGTGGGGTTCCAGACCTTTGGGTGTGTATTTCACCACCAACACCGTGGCTAAAGATGCTCTTAGCATTCAAAAGTTATCAGAAATTTTACAAAGAATATTCTCTTTATAAGAGACAACAATAAAATAAAATAGTTTTTGGTAGCCCTTTAATAAAATTGGTTGCACAAAACTCAGAAACTATAGAAACTAGGTCCTTGCAATTAATTTCACTTCCACAAAGGAAATAAATATATTAGTTTGGAGGTTGCTAA